CTCAGCTCAGCGTCTCTCTTTGCCTGGACTATGCGAGTCATCCCTGCGAAGCCTTGGTGTTTCCCCCAGTGCTTGCAGCTTGAGATGGCCAGAAACTAGGTGGTGACAACTGTGTGCTCAGTGCTGTAATGGGGGAATCGGACGGGAGCTCGAAGGCAGTGCTGGGCAGCCCAGCCAAGAAGACAAAGCTGGAAGAGGAAACACCTGAACCCAATTTTGAAGGAAGAAGAATTAGGGTGGCAGAGAGGAGGAAGTGAGAGGGCACCCCAGGCCAAGGGAACAGCAAGGGCAAACTCAGAAGCCAGGGTGCTGCCAAGAGGTTCTGTGTTGCCAAGGGAGGGGTTGTGGGTGTGTGTGCAGGGGGATAGTGGAGGGACCATCCCCTCTAAGCCACTTGCTGTAAGCTCCTTGAGGACAAGGACTGTCTGACTGCAGAAACCCTGCTAGAGAAATCCAGCAAAATAAATGTGTGGAATCAATGGGCAAACAGTCAGATAACCCTAGGGAGACAGGATGCCCATCAGGGGATGTGGCTGCCGTTTTCCATCGGTGTGGCCCCATAACATCCCTTGATAAGTTGGAGGTCCCTGGGTCTCACAACGAGGCCACGGCATCCACCCTGACTGCCGGTGACTCAATGGGAGTGAGCTGCCCACGGGGAGTAGAAGAAGTCTCCTAGAGGGAGCCAGCCGATGAGCCTGGCATGGAAAAGACAATGGCATCCTAGGCAGAGGGAAGGCAGGGGCCTGGGGTGAGTTTAAGCAGCGATGAGGAAGAAATGGCAGAAGAGAAGCCAGAAAAGCAGGACACAGAAGGCCGAGTGGCTGTTTGGACTTGAATCTGACAGTGAAGGAGCCCTTGATGCTTGTGCCTTAGATTTGAGCTTAATAAATCCCTCCTGCGGTTGCTGGCCCACCCCCAGCTGAAGCTGGGTGCCTTTGATGTAATCTGGGAATAGCCAGAGGCCAGTGTGGCTAGAGTGATGTGAGGGAGGGAGAAACAGGAGACGAAGTTGGAGAAGAAACTGGGGGAGACTGGAGAGGGTCTCCCAGGCCATGACAGGAAGTTTGGGTTTTATCTTAAGTGTGATGGGGGATTTTATCCTAAGTGTAATGGGATATCATGAGATTTCAAGGATGGACTGATGTGATTTGACTTAAAAAGATCAGAGTGGCGATGGTGTGGGAAATGGCTTGCAGAGGGCACGAGTGGGAGCAGGGAGATCGGTTAGGAAACCATATAAACTAGACCAGTAGAAAGACATCCCTGGTGGCCTGGAGCAGGGAGACAGTGTGAAGGCGGGTGCAATAATTGAGGTGAGTGGCAGGGCAAGGCCAGTAGGATTCAAGAGCTTATTGGGAGGTAAAATCTTGGGGACTTGGTGGTGACTCAGTGCCAGGGTGGGGAAGAGGGAAAAGGCAAGGATGACACTGAGAAATTAAAGATGGAATGGGGAACAGGTTTCTTCCCACCACAGTCCACGAAAACCAGCTTTTCCTCATTTTTGAAGGGCAGACAGGTGCTGAGGGCAGAGTGGGACTGGGAGTAGCCCTGGGCTTCAGCGTGGGTGGGGTTGCCAGGTGGAGGCTGCTTTTCGTCTTTTCAGAGACTAGACTCCAGGATGTCCTGCTCCCTTTCCTCCTCCACCCACTACACTTCTTTCTGGGCAACAGGCATGTAGTTCCTTGGCCGCAGCCCCCGGTGGCAGGAGCTGTGGTTCAAGCCTCGGCCGCTGGAGGCAGCATAGAGTCAGGCTTCTCTGACACTGGACCTTCGGGGACCGGGCACTGCTTTCAGGGATGGATCTCTGGGAAGGGGGTGAGGGGGTCTGCACCTCCACAACTTCTCCGTAAGGGGCGGCTGTGGATCTAGTGGACAAGGCCCTTGAAGCCATACAAACAGGGTCACTTCCAGCTCTGCCCCAGCAGCTCTGAGGTCCCAGGAAGCAGAGGTAGGGTACGGATTCCTTTCTGGCATTGTCTTTGGGATCAAGAAGTGCTGTATGTCAAGTGCCTGGCACACAGTAAGGCAGTTCCACCAAGGGACCCTGAGCTGAGCCCTGACCCAGGTCTCCGCTTGCTCTTTTGGCCGCACACCTCCTCTTTTATGCATCCCATGCTTTATGCTACCTATTTGTTTGCTAGTTATACACAGGCTCTGCTCAGGCTGTTCCCCTTGCCTGGAAGGTCCATTCTCTGGTCTCTGTGTATCTTCCCGTTGGCCTTCAAGGGCACAGTCTGAAGTAACTGCTTCCCAGAAGCCCTTGCTGCCCTGTCTTTGTATCTCTACCCTAGTCTCAGCTCTGCCCTGTGCTTCCACTAGTTGCTTAAGTCATTCTCTCTGCAGCTTCAGAGTGGAGAGGGCAGCTGCTTTGACAGGGCCTCGTCCTGGATTTAACTCGAGCTCAAGTCCTCAGGTTGCTTCAGCTTCCTCACCCTCGGTTTCTCCCCTGGGGCTTGGGGGCAATGGTAGCTACCCTGCTGGGCCAGATGAGGCATTGTGCCAAATGAGGGCCAAATGAGGTATGTGTGCCAGTCTGGGGCTCCAGTTGGAAGACGGCTTGCTCGCACCTGACTGTTGCTATGCCTCGCACAGGCCACCTACATCTACATGAAGGCCGCCTACCTCAGCATGTTTGGGAAGGAGGACTACAAGCCGTTTGGGGATGACGAAGTGGAGTTGTTTAGGTGAGCCCTACCATTGCACCCCCATCGTAGGCCTCAGCCAGCCTCTGTCCACAGACACACTGAGCTGTAGGCACCAGGGAGGGAGGTGGCAGGGTTGTCCTCTCTCCTGGCCCCGAGCTCCCTGACCCTCCCCCAGGGCTGCCCCCATGTGCCCGTCATGCCTTTCCATCACCACCTCCTCCTGTGACTGCTGGTTAGTGCCCTTTGAATCTGTTCAGAGGCTGTTTTTCACCCAAGTGGCTTTGTCAACATCTTTTCCCCTGAGCCTCTTTCATCAGGTCAGTAGGACAGATGTGGACACTGAAGTCCAGAAAGGTCCCTTCTGCTGAGTTAACCTGATACATTCAGAGCAACACAGGAGAGAGCCAAGGAGTTTGAATCAAACAGGATTAAATCCAGCCTCTGCCGTTTCTTAGCTGTGCTGTCTTGGACAGTTTCAGCATCTATAAAATGGGAATAACCTTGGCCTGGCAGGTTTCTTTTGGGAATCAAATAGAGAATGTATTTAAAGAACTGGGAGTAGGGCCTGGAGCCACTCCATGGTGGCCATTTTGATTCCTACCTGTACTGCTGTGTTTGCCTTCTGCGAAGGGCCTGGAGCAGGGCTCGGCCTTCGCAGGCTGAGAACGGAGCCTAGGGCCTTCCTCCAGTTGTGGTGAGGGCTGGCTCTAACTTACAGACCTGGAAGTGGAGGTAACCCAAGCTTCCTGGGCTCCCAATGTCACAGTCATAGGGGGCTTGTCATTGATTGACTGAGTGCAGCCATTTCTCCATCTCATATCACTCTCCCAGAAAGCCTCTGAGGGGAATTATCTGGGGGGGAGGAAGATAATTTTCCCTCTATTCTCTTAGGTTTGGGGCTGAGATTCCCCGATAATAAAAGACAGATTAACAGGAGAAAAACAAACAAGTTTAATAACATGTATGCCTCCTGTATACATGGGAGACAGCCAGGAAAACTGAGGAACTCTCTGAAATGACCCAAGCCATCGCCTTAAATACCGTCTCCAACTAAAGACAAAAGGAACGGGAAGCCAGCTAAGGGAAGTTTTCAGGCAGAGCACAGTAAAGGAAGGATGGATGGTGGTTGTGCAGATGTAAGCCTGCCTTCTCTATTGATAAGAGTTTCTGGAGATTTAGTCATCCTCTTCCTGGTGCAGAGGGAGACACCCTTACAGACGGGGATTTCCTTTATAAATGTAACTTCTACAGAACGTAACTTCTACTAGGTCTTTAGAATTTTTCTTGTGTGCTGCTGTTTCTTAAAAATAACTATCCTAAAATAATCCTTATTTTAAAATCCAAATTTTGGGGTGGCAAATTCTGTTCTCCTTCATATCATTATCTCCATTTTAGAGATGAGAAAACAGGCCCAGAGAGGTTCACAGTGAATAAGCAGGGGAAGTGTTTGGCAGGGGGACCTCACAACTAGGTCCAGCTGTGTCCTGGGCCTGGACGGCTCAGGCTTGAGGGTCACACCCCATGACTGTAGCAGCAATCGGAGGGTGGGATGGAGGTGGGTGGATGAGGCCCCAGGTGTGGAGGTTTGCCTAGCTGCATACCGCATTTTACTCTGCCTTGGAAACAGCTGAGGAGACCACAGCTCACGTGCCAAGAGTTAATTAAAGGTTCGAGCTGCGTGGTCTTGGACAGGTCCCTCCCTTTTTCTGGGCATTAGTCTCCCCTGTGAAATGGGGTCCGACTTCCACTGGGCCTTCCGGAAATGGGGCCTGGAAGTGGAGGAGCGACAACTAGAAGGCAGAGCAGGCCTGGGGTGTGTGTGTACATTCTCACCTCTGTCATCTCGTGTGCAGGAGCCCCTTGCCAAGCCACCGGAAGGGGTCAGGTCTTGGGACAGGGCCTGTGAAATAAGGCCACAGCCAAAGGCTATGCGTCCAACACCATCATCATATAGATGGGGAAACTGAGGCCCAGAGAGGCGCCACGCAGAGGCGGGGCCGCCTGGGGACTCTCAATTCTCTTCGGCTTGTTCTCAACCTCACTCCACCCTCCTCCTCTTTTGTAGAGCTGTCCCAGGCCTGAAGCTCAAGATTGCTGGAAAATCTCTACCCACAGAGAAGTTTGCCATCCGGAAATCTAGACGCTACCTCTCCCCCAAACCTATCTCATTGCCAGTTCCTGCTCTGGTGGGTAGGAGGGTCTTGACTGGCCCTGCACTCGGGTTTGGAATTGTAGGGATTAGCGGAGAGCCAGGGATACAACCACGGACCAGGGAAGTGGATAAGGGAGAAAGACCTCCATGCCTCAGGGGCCTGGAGAGGGTTTCACAATTTCCCTGGGATTGGGGGGAGGAACACAGATGAGTCAGAGCCAGCCCCTGCCTCTGAGGAAGTGCTGGTCCACTGGGAGGGGGGTTGGGGAGACAAGTGAGCAGGCCAAAGATACCTGGAGGCAGAAAGAGCAGCTCTCCTAGACAGCCCCACACCCCTGCCCCAGGCAGAGGCATCACTCAGCTGTTTGTATTCTTATCCTGTCTGTTTCAGTCTCGTCACATGGTGATAATTGTTGTTTACACTGTTCCCTTCACTGGACAGAGCTTTTCTGAGGCCTGGGATTGTGTTATATTCAACTCTGACATAACAGTAATAACAGCTGACATGTTATTGGGCACCTTCTGTGTTCAAGGCTCCTTCACCTGTTGCCTGTGGCCTCATTTGATCCTTACAACAGGCCCCTGAGTAGGTGCAGGTGGTGTCCCCATTTTACATATGGGGGGTACTAAGGCCTAATAAGTAATAAAAGTAGAAAGATAAACTATGTGGATAATAAGTGGATAAGCTATAAGTAGAAAGACAAAATAACTTGTACAGGTCGCACAGCTAGTGCTTGGAGTCAGAATTTGAACCTAGGTAGTCTGGTTCCAGAGCCCATATTCTGAACCAGTGTCGTGATGCTAATTTCATGCATGATTTTAGCAGAGAAGGTTCCAGTTTGTTATGAGTTCTTGTTACTCAAATAGTAAGGCGGCCAAGAAAAATAGAAAGAGCCTTTGGAGACCTTTTCCTGGTCCTGACTCTGCTATTTACTAATGGTGTGACCTTGGATAAGGGCCCCCTTCCCTTAATGGCAAATAGGAGTAATATGTACCTTGCTCATTTCATAGAAAAGTTATGAGAATCAGCTGATAAAAAGTGTTAAACACTTTATAAATCGAAAAGTTCGATATTTATAGAATTTATTTAGAACGTGTATCCTGAATATCTCTAAACAAAATTTGAAATATTTTATATTTTAAAATATACAATAAAGCTGTTATCATCAAATAGGGGAGGGGGGCTGTTCTAAGGAAGAGCAAGGAAAGCAACTGCATGAAAAATTTAGGGGAGAATTTCCCAAACTATAATCTGCAAAATGCCATTTATGCATAAAATGATTTCTGTGATTAGATATATTGGGGAGGACTGGCCTAAACAAAGTTTATACACTGTAGACCTTCTCAGAGCCTTTATATGCTAATCTGCAGGGTTAAGTCTCCAAGGAGAAGCTTGAATACAATTTTTCTCTATCTTATTTGGCCACAGGACTTGTTTAATGGAACATTTGCTAACTTGGGACCATATAATGATTTTAAGAAATTCTAGTCTAAACTTAAATTCTTTCCCTAGAACATAATAACAAGAACCATAACAAAAATCATGTCTTCCTAGAACTTTATGTATACAAACCACTTTTACGTCTATTACCTGGTTTGATAGTTCAGGAAATGCTAATCTAACAGAATGACTACAAATGAAAATTTAATATAGTATTCTGAGCTTCCTAGAAGTCAAAGCAGAAAAGGGAATCAGGATATGTTTCATAGTTTTCATGATGGTAACTTAAACCCAGTGCCTTGAATAGGAGCGTGTATGGCATAGTCTTAAGCTCTCCTGGAAATCCTGAATTGCTTAAGTAAATGATGCTTCCCCCAAAATTTAGGAGCTAGAGGGCCTTTCGTGAGCTTCTGATCTGAGCGGCCCGTTTTACAGATGGGGAAAATGAGGCCCCATTGAGGCGGGAACCTAGGACTGACTTGCTCCCCTGCCCTCAGGAAATGATGTACATTTGGAATGGCTACGCTGTGATTGGGAAGCAGCCAGAACTCACAGACGGGATACTTGAGATCATCAACAAGGCTGAAGAGAGGCTGGAAAAGGGCCCAGGTGACTATCCTCAGGCCCTTGAACCTGCCAGGCTGGGTCAGACCACAGGTCTTTACAGTTGAAATTTCCCTCTACCAAAAATGTCCTTTCTTACCTCTCTACCCTGGTAACTGAACTTGGCCTTTCTAGACTGAGCTTCCATGGCAGCTTCTCCATGCTGTCCCTTGTCCCCCAGGTAGGGCCAAGGCCTCCTCTGGGCTCCCATAGCCTCTGGGCTTCTTTCAGTCAGTCCTGGTCTCACTGTCTTGTCATCGTCTCAGTTTCTGTCTTTCCTTCCCAGATGTGAGCCCCCTGAGGACAAGGACCATGTGTGAGTCACCTCTGTAGCCCCAGGGCCCAGCAGAGTAGGGCCCCCATGTCTGTTGCAGAAACGAGCAAACCCGTTTCCTTCTCTCACTCCCCTATTCTCAGAGAATGAGTACTCAGTGGATGATGAATGCTTGGTGAAGTTGCTGAAGGGCCTGTGTCTGAAATACCTGGGCCGTGTCCGGGAGGCCGAGGAGAATTTCAGGAGCATCTCTGCTAAGTAAGTGCCTCTGTAGCTGCCCCTGCTCCACTCTGCCTGCTGTAGGCATGGGTCTCCTGGGTAGTTTCAGGGCTTCTCCTTCCTCACGCTCACTCCAATGCCTGGCCCCAGCCTTCCCCCATTCACTACACGTGCATTAGTGTCTACGCTGTGCCAAGACCCTTGCTGGGCACACATCATTCAGACCTTGTCCCCCAGGGCCACCAGGTTGCCCAACTATAGGAGCCCATCCACACTGAATTTCGTGTGAAGGGTGCCCCCTAGAGTTTGTAATTCAGCAATTCTGCCCTCGCCCTTGGGGATTACAAATGGTGTCCACAGCTATAGGCAACTCAACCTGGTATGATGGGGCTGTGCTACAGGAAAGCAGAAGAGGGCTGCCTGCAGGTGCCCTGAGAAGGGACCTACATCTAAAGCAAGATGTCGGGTCGTCGGGGAAGTCATGACACGTTTTTGCATTGAAAAACATAGAAAAATACATCATGACTTTCCCGACGACCCAATACCAGGAGAGGCCTTCCAAGGATGCCGTTTAAATTGTGAGGTTTATCAGGCAGAGAAAGCAAGGGAGGAGTTTTAAGGGAGTAGGTACAGCATGTACAAATGCTTGGGCACAGAAAGACACCTGAGGTTGTGGGGGACAGTGATTAGGTCCTTCCTTGCCTGGGTTAAATTACAGAGGGAAAAAGTTGCAGATGAAATAAGGGCGTGGTGGCTAGACTAAGAAAGGGCCTGGCTATTTTGCTTACAAGGAAGAACTTTATCCTGTACACAGAAGTCAGCCAGGAAGGATACCAGGCAGGGCAGATCTGTGTTTTAAAAGGATGTCTCTGGGGCAGCATGGTGGGTAGGTCAGAGGGGCCAGATTGGAGACAGAAGACCTCCCAGTTAAATAAATCATTCAACCTGGAAAAAGGGGGTTGGGGACAGAGGTGGGTGTGGGCTAAGGGTATAACATGAGCCATAGGTTGTCAGGGAGTTGGGGTCTCAGCTGCAGAGGCCTTTCCCAAATTGGAATTCCAACCAGAAAACCCATCTTGAGGACATGGGGTTGGATCCTCCCGTTCGGGGAGGGCTCCAGAGGAGAAGCCTGAAGGACGTCTCAAGGGCACAGCCTGTAAGCCATGTCCTCCTCTGTCCCACAGTGAAAAGAAGATTAAATATGACCATTACTTGATCCCAAATGCCCTGCTGGAGCTGGCCCTGCTGTTTATGGAGGAAGGCAGAAACGAAGAGGCTGTCAAACTCTTGGAAACTGCTAAGTAAGGCTTGATGAGCTTTGGTCAGCCCTTTGTTCCCCACGAGCTCATGAGCTTCACCCTGGCTGGGGGCACAGGAGCCCAGGCAACAGTGAGGGAGGACGCTGGCCAGGGCAGTCGGTACGGCAGCACAGAGGCTGGGCCCATCCCTGGGACCAGCTCTCAGCTCACATAGGGAGGCTTTCTCCCCAATTTGCCAATGGGGAATTGGAATCCCAGAAGCAGGGAGAAGTATCCAGGGTCACAGACAAGCCAGCCGCAGGGCTGTGTGAAGACCCTGGTCTCCTGCCTTCCAGCCCAGGGATCTACCTCTCTAAAGCACTCCCTCAAGCCTGGGGACCCAGCAAGACCAAGAGTGGTTCCAGGGGGCATGCTATCCGGGTGAGGGACTAGACACCCTTTCTGCTGATCTGTATTGGGCAGGGCCTCACGCTTTCTTTAAACAGAGAGGGATTTAAGCCTCTACAAATCTCTCTTGCTTGAGTTTCCACAGCTCAGACTAAAGGAAAAGCACTTCCTGAAGCAGCCTCGTGTGTCTGATTCTATGGTCTCTTCCAGGCAAAACTATAAGAATTACTCCATGGAGTCAAGGACACATTTTCGAATCCAGGCAGCCACACTCCAAGCCAAGTCTTCTCTAGAGAATGGCAACAGATCCATGGTCTCATCAGTGTCCTTGTAGCTTTGCGCAGCACTCCCAAGCTGGAAGACAGACAGCTGGACAGAGTTCCTGGAAACATTTCAAAACGGTCCCCTCCCCCTGCCCTGCCCTGCCCTGCCTGCCTTTGGGGTCCATCAGTGCTCCAGTGGAATGGCACGACATGGGTATCCGTGCGGAGGTGAAGCCGGCATTTTCACAAGTGTGGCCAAGGGCCTTTGCCAAGGAAGGGCAGGTGGAACCCTCTGCCTGCTCTGTCCCACATACGGGTACTTGTTTTTCACTGTGATGCTTAAGAGAATGTATGTACAGTTTACATTTTCCTTAGAAATACAATGATGGGATCATAGCTGGCTTTAAAAAAACCTACCAATGGACCACCCGTAAATCTTTGTTTTAACCCATATTGATCTGGAGGTAAATCTATGATGCCAAAGGCCGAACTACTCTTCAAACTTCAGCAAGTTCTCAGCTTCCAGGGCTGGAAGGACCTTCAGGAGGGTCTGTACCTCAGGCTTCGAGGCTTCTGGGGGTTGTGCATAGAGGCTGCACAGATACCTACTACCTTACCTCTTACGTTTCATTTTAACTCTCTTTGTATCTTTCCAATTAAAAAAAAAATCAAACATGTCTTTTTAGTGAGATAATTTTCATTTGAGTCCATCTGTAGAAAAATATTAATCTCTACCAGTAAGGAATGGGGATGCCAAGGCCTGACGTAAGGGGAGCTGTGTGGCCCTTTCTGTGCCAACAAGTTTGGGGGTGAGGGGGTTCTCAGACACGTCTGCATCCTCACTGTATGCCAGACTGAAACCACTGGGAATAATTTATGAAATCTTCTGTACTTCACTCCAAGGCACATTTATTTACCAACAACATTTTTCTTAGAATGGTTATTCTTGGCCTGTTGTATATGTTTTAAATTTTTCAGTTAAAACAAAGTAGATATTTAAGTAGTAAAACTAATACACTTAAAAGAGATCATGCAACATCTATTTCTGTAAAATATGTTTCTTGAATTCTTAGGCAGGGCAGAAAGTTTGAATCAGAAGCCATATGGCCCAGGTATGTTTTATTTAGACAAAATGCTAAAATATAAGTTACTAACATTTAAAAATGGGGGGGATTTCACAAGTAAACCTGGTTTCTGGCCCCTTGTCAAAAAAAAAAAAATGGCAACACAGCCTCATTCCCATAAGGCAACAACAAGGCAACAATCAGTTAGAATGAGTAGAGGCTGCTTTAAACACTTCTATTACCTTTCTGGCCCCTAAAACCATTTGCATTTGCAACTTCTGGGACTGTTAAAGTGAGAGCTCAAGTTCAGTGACCAAAACCAAGTTTTACAATTCACAGCGTACTTCAGTTTAACCAAGTCCCTAGAGGAAAAATCACGTACACAGTAAATACATTCCGTCTGTGAAAATGTGACTCCTCAAATACATGAATGAAAGCAATTTCAGTAAGAACCACAGGCAGTGTTTCCAACCTTCCAGCATTGCTGTATTTAGCAAACACTTCTGAGCATTTGCCAGCAAAGGGTGGGTTCATCCATTAATATACAGTCAACCAGCCTCTGACTGATACTGAAGGAAACCATGGGTTTTAGGTAAGGCATATCCTCATTAGGGAAACAAAGCAAAGCAGAAAACCCTCATCCAAGAGCCTCTTCTGCACTTGCTGTCAGAGCAGAATGCTATGAAAAAGAATTCTCATTTTGTTACAACAAAAGAATTCTCTAGGGGCCGGCCGAGTGGCTCAGTTGGTTAAGAGCTTGCCCAAGAGTGCGAACTCTGAGAAACAGGGTCGCTGCTTTGATTCCCTACCTGAGCTGAGCTGAGCTGCCACTCAGTTGCCAACAGATGGCAGGATGGCTCAGTTAAAATAATAATAATAATAATAATAATTCTCTCCATAGAGCAAGCCCTTTGCAAGCTCTATCTCCTCCAAAGCCTGGATGCTGGGAAACCAGCCTGTTTCTGGGTTGTTGGGCAGGGCAGAGTGAGAGGGTGACTAGAGCCAGGCTACAGAATGAGGGTGGCCTTTTGTGACTCCCCCACATAATAGACCCTTAACTGCTGCTGTATAAAAGCAGCACTGGTCATAGGATACCAAACATATAATTTACAAAATAGCAGTTTATAAAAAAAACTTTATCTCAACACTCATTTTTGGTGCTTTTACTTATATTTTTAAAATTGTCGCCAGGATGGTTTCCTTGTATTTGTTGCTGATTTCTTGCTGAGCTTCATTAGTTAGTCTAGGTCACCTTTACCTCTGTCTGCTGCCCTGGCTGCAGTCTGGCTGATAAGAGAAATCAGTGGCTTTTGTCTCCTTTATCCTCCCTGCAGCTTGAGATAATCATTGAAAAACATGTATATGAAGGAGAGTAAGCACACTGGGTGTCTGACACCACCATATCCTGTGCAGAGGCCTTTGAAGGTGACATTTCTGTCATGGGTTTCTCACATGGGTTTCTCTTCTTTGAGCCATTTCTGGCTGTTACTTCTTTAATGGTGCAGACGTTTCCAGCACATCTGCCCTGGAGAGGCAGCTGATCAGGTGAGTTTTGGCCTAGAAATAAGGAGACTTTTAATTCTAGTCCCTGCTTTGTTACTGATTTTCAGAGTAACCTTGGGAATGTCATAGACCCTCTCAAAATTAGTAATTTGGACTACATTAAGGCTCTTTCCTGCTGTCAACAGTTCTAACTCTGGTCAAGTCTGTTGCTGGGTTTTCATCTCCCAAATGAAGCAACAGATATATACCTCCCTACCTTTTGCCAAAGCTTTGTGTCCCCAATCTACTAAAGCAGAAATGATAGGCGTCCTCAGTTGGGGGCCTTGACGGTAGCCCCGGATACCCAGAGAACAAAGAATCCTCATTTGGGGAAGGTCTAAATCCTGTGTCACATGGAGAAACTAGGTTGTTAGGAAGTAGCAACTGTGTAACATGATCTGAACCAGACCTTGACAGTGGAAAGTCTCCTTTTGGCTCTCACTGGTGGCAGGCCCATGGGCTGGCAAGAGTGGCTTCCAGCAGTGTGCTGGTCCCTATCAGCTCTCCCATGTGTTGGCAGGACTCCCTAGTCCTTATCTCTCAAGTCAGAATGGGAGCATTTCCAACACAGCTATCGTCATTCACAGAAAAAAGCCATGACCTGACAGCAAAGCCAGGACCCTTAAAGGCCAACGCCAACCCAAGACTCAGCTGAGGTCAAGGTGGGAGATTTCCCAGCAACTGAATAATGGCACCAAGAGGTTTTCAGAGCAAAATCATTCAACAAAGGAATAAAATCCAAAGACACTTTTCTCTGGATTTACTCCCAAGTTTATTTCATCTAAGATGATAGGGAGTGGACAAGTCTTCTCCTTGTTTGCTTCAAGTTTAAAACCTAACAGTGTGTGCCTTTTAAACAACTATTTCCTTATGTCCTTAGCACCATCACACTAATTCAGTGATAAATTAAAGGTGTGCAAATTCCAAAAACCAAGCAGCAAATGAGAACTTCTCACCTGTCCCCACACACGCAACATCCCAAGGTTGGAAGCACCTTTCTGCTTGGGTTGGCACAGCTCCTGTGAACTGTGGTGCAAAGTTTATTACTGCTCAACAGGGTAAGTCCACAAACAGGGAGACTCATTTGAGGGCTTGAAAAGTTCATTTCTAAATTAGCCATCTGTGAATTGCTTCCACTATATAAAGTCAACTGTTAAGGGACAAAATGTAATAGAGCCCTTCCTTTGGGAGGACAATTACTGAAGGTCACTATGGACTTCTAAAAGTTGACATTCAAGTTTAATCAGACACATCACAGCTAACACCTCATAAATGACTAGACTGGGTTGTTCTTCACATCATCAACAAACACTTCAGAATACCAGACACTGTATGCTCTAGGTGGAAGAAAACAGCTAAGATCAAGTGCTCACTATTTACTAGTTGCTATTCTAAGCACTTTTGAGTGTTTCTAATCCTCACAACTACCCTATGAAGTAGAGGCTATTATTGCCATTTTACAGATGAGAAAACTGGGACACAGGTTAAGTAACTTGTCTAAGATCACACAGCTATTATGCAGCAGAACGATTTGAAGCCAGGCAGTTGAACTCAAAAGTCCACACTTGGCTAACCTGCTGGTCGAGCTACATAATTATCAGTTTAAAGTTGGACCTGACTTATATTGATGCTTGGGCCACTGTTAAGGATGGAAAAGGTCCTGGCTAATAACTCAAACACTACAAATCCTTGGCTTGGAACACACAGCATATGTCTGTGTAGCAATAATTTCCCCAGGTAGAGATAGGGCCGCACTCGGACAAAGCCAAAAGTAAAAGGCAACACTTAGGCAACAATATATGCTCATAAAATCTTCAAGGAATGTTGGAGGAAAAGGCATGATCTAACCCCTGGTTGGACAGGTAGAGGCGCAGGCAGCTCCTCCAGAGATGGGAAGTGAATCCTGAACAGATGCAGAGGCTCAGGCCTGGCCTCCGGCTTGGTGGGTAGCAAATCATATGCTAGAAGAGGTTTGGTACGACAATAAGAGGTAGGAATATTGGAAAACGGAGAAGCATATGATGCTACAGGCACTCAAAGAGTTTAAAGTGTGGCTGACTGGCCAAACACATCACATCTGTGGGTCAGAGTGGTCCATGGGCCAGACATTGTCAGCCCTGGGCTTTAGCTTTCAGATAACCATCTATGGAATAGAGGTTGTGAGCAAATTCATAGTAAGAGAAAAGCCTGATGTACTACAAATATAAATTTTAAGTTCTATTAATTACATAGGGTAGTGGGGAAAAAGCACAGACTGGACTCCAATTTACTTCACTGCTTTGAGAATCTGTTTATACTTCCATAAAAAGGGGGTTAATGCCACCCACTTCACAGGGTCCTGAGGATAAAAAATCATGTAAACAAATAGCCTAGCACAGCTCCTAGTATATCAAGTAGTAAATTTACTGGCCTGCATGTACTGTGGGAAGGCAGTGGTCGGTTTGGCCCAGGGGAGGACTGAATCAGGGCTCAAGCGCTTCTCCATCTCTTGGCTTTGTTCCCGTGTTAGATTTATTCTCTCCAACTGGCTTCTCCGCATGGCAGGGGTACATGGCAGTCAGACCTCACATCTTTATAGCTTTGTGACAAGAAAAGGGCTTTTTTTCCTACCTCCAGAATGAAAAATGCCAGGTAAGGACTCTTGAGTCTGGTTTGGCTCTAATGTCCTTCCCTTAGACCAGTGGTTCCCCAGATCATTAGATCATCAGGGAATTTGTTAGAAAAGGAAATTATCAGACCCCCCCTCCCCCGCCACCACCACACACACACACAGACTGCAGGGGTAAGGCCGAGTAATCTGAATTTTAAGCCCTCCAGGTGGATCTGAGGCACACTGAAGTTTGAGAACCACTGCCTTAGAAAGGGACTGAGGTACTATAATTGGTCCAACTGTGTCATATGCTTAGTTGGGGGTAATTACTAAAAAAAGAACAGGTATTAGCACTGTATGTCTTTTCAAAGTTGACATACAGGACCACGGCCTGCCACATTCCCAGGTGCGGGAAGGATGAGGACAGTGGGTCAAGTCTGCGGTGCTGGTTAGTGACAGGCTCATCAAAAAGGTGCCCACTCAGGAAGAGCTTGGCCTCTGCCCTCCTCCTCGCCACCCTCGAAAATCCTCATCAGATCTCTACTTTCCACTGGGAACTTCCTTGATGGTGGCTCCCTCTCCATTAGAAATGCTCAGATTCCTTAGGGCCTTTCTTCCCCATTCTCCTTTTCTTCACTTAGTAACTGTTGAGCACACAACTGTCGTGCTCTCATGGAGCTTAGTCTGGTAAAGACCTATAAGTAAATAAAGAATTAGAGCCATGGAGTAAACAAATAGGGAGGTGTTTGGTAG